AACATTATTATAGCAATCTATTAAGTAACAATTGAAAGAAAAAAAGTCTTGATCCTGATGTGGACAGAACCGGCAAAAACACGCACATTCCCATCCACAGGGCATCTAAAGGGGCTTTTATTGAAATCTTACCAAAAATATTGTACCAAATTTTTCCACATGAATTCCACATGAGGGATTTTTTCCTGCAGTGGTACCATTGCCAGTGCATTTGTTGGCCCATTTGCACTTACAACTAAGATTCCGGGCAGCACAGAAAAATCTGTTTTTTCACCATTGTTAGCCATGGTTTCCCTTTCACATCAGATGCATATTGCACCCCTTCCCCACTGTAGTCTTTCTGCCATGATGATTCTTTGCCCACCCTTATTTTTTGTCAAAGGCATAGCTCTGCTTGAGAATAGCACAATTCTGTGCTCACTTTACAGCACTTAACAAGACACTGGGGAGTATTCCTTCAGTCCCAGACCGATTTCCCACAAGCCGCTGCTCCGCGCTCGCTCTTCCCTTTGCCCAGATTGTACGTGTCAATTTCACACTATGTGCTGCGTGGCCGCATCTTGCCCTGCAGCTTTGCCCGATTTCCCCCGCGTCCACTCAATCCTCAGAAAACAGGATTGAGTAGACGCGGGGGAAATCGGGCGAAGCTGCGGGGCAAAATGTGGCTGAGCAGCTCATGGTGTGAAATTGACACGTACGATCCACATGGAAGGGAAGACAGGAAGCAGGAGGGAGCAGGCATGCACGCACAGGAACCCTCTGCGTCCATGCCTATCAAGGACAAACAAAAGTTCGTTGTTATATCTGAATGCAACCACTGTCTCCAAAGAAGAAAAATGCAGACTCCCCAAAAGCCTCTGAAAGAGATCACTAGTCCCAATTCCTAGTTTCATCAATCAAAATATAAATAGATTAATTGGGAAGTGTCAGACTTTGGTTCTTGGTATTACATGGTCCTCACTAAGGAGGTAGATCAGTTGGTGAAGCTCCCACATTCTACTAGTCCAGATTCTGTGACTCTTGGGTTGAGAATACAGACTATGTGAGCTCTGAGCTCTTACCATGTATGTTGAACCCATCCCCTAGTTTTCTCATTTCTCCCTTATAAGTGAGTCTTAGAAAGTCCCTTGGTACCATGTAGGGTTGCCAACCTCCATCTGGGGCCTGGAAATCCCTTGGATCTCCAGATGACTAAAATCAGCTCCCCTGGAGAAAATGGCTGCTTTGGAGGGTGGGCTGTATGGCATTATACCACACTGAGCTCCTTTCCCCTCGCCAAAACCTACCACTTCCAGGTTCCAACCCCAAAAGCACCAGGAAAGTCCCAACCCAGAGATGGCAACCCGAGTGTTATTTACTTCCCTTGATCTCTTTGTTCGCCCTTCTGCCATAACATTTTCCTTGCATAACATACACCTATTTGTATACAAAATCGACGGTGTGTTTTAAAAGAATACATGAATGCGGGATGATTTAAACCAGTGCTACTGACTCCATAGCTTGTGGACAGCCACACCTGCAATTCCATGAATCAAAATAGCCACATTTAATTCTATTCTTGGCATGAGGCACATCATAATGCAATAGAGTCCGTCCTTGTATAATGCAGTAGAGTCCATCCTCCAAAGCAGTCATTTTCTCCAGGGGAACAGATCTATGTAGTCTGGAGATCAATTGTAAATTCCAGGAGATCCCCAGGCCTTACCTGGAGTTTGGCAACCCTAGCTGGCTCTTGTATTTCTGGTGTGTTGCCATACATAGCTGGAGGGCTGCATTCAGTTTGTGGGTCATAAGCTGTACACAGCTGATCATCTAGGTATATAATTCCTTAAAAGGGAGCAACCAATTCAGATCTAGTAGCAACTTGGGAGTCAGTGTGTATTCCTGGAGAAATGTCTGTTGCACAGTGATGGCAGATGAGAAAGCAAGGATGGGGAGTTTGAGAAGATGCAGAGAGCAGTAAGAGACTGGGGATGCTGTGAAAAGGCAAGCAGAAGCACTGGAGGCCTGGTATGAGATTGGCAGCTCAGTTATGGAAACAGTGATGGGTGAAGATGTCCTTCTTGGCACCAAACAAGTCACGGAGCCAAGCAGGATGAATATGAGAAAGCTCTTAGGCCCAGAAGTTCCAGTATGTGGCATAGAAGAAAATGGGCATAGGAAAAAAAAACTTGAAGCCCAATCCATGTTTACTCAAAAGTAGGTATCACTGAGTTTGGTGGCATTTAACCTCAGGAAAGTGTGGGATAGAAGCTTTGATTTTTTAATTTAATGATATGTGCAACTAAAAATTGAACCTCATAACTTTTGTAAACCAGGAACAATATAGTCATTCTCATCAAACATTCAGTCATGCTTTGCTGCATTTTTCACATTCTGCATTCATCCTGGGACTTTTATATTGTTCATTTAAATTATTCTCTGTTCTGGAGTGAAAGGAACAGCATGCAACTATTAATTTTTTTTTTTTAAAAAAATCCATAGAAAGCAAATCCACGATCCTAATGTGATAGACAACAGAAGATGCTGAAGGAGTCTGTTTCCATGTAATGATGATCTCTGCATCATTACAAAGTTTTTGCCTCTGGTCTCTTGCCTAATGAAAGCAGTGCATGTTTTGCATGGCCTTGAAACTTCTGTGATGTGAATTACTTTTCTGTTGTTCCACTTTTTATTGCCCATTTGAAATGAATAACTTTTCCATTGTTGGCAGCCTTAGTGATGAAGGTTTCTGTAGCCATGCTGCTGAAGAATCAGCCAGTGCGAACCCACCTGCGGCATCTACAGAGGTGACAGCATCAGATAACACCCTGCATGAACAAGAAGAACAAGTCGGGTCTGATTTCTTGGAATGGCCTGAAGAAACAAAAGACAGAAGACAGCCTGTCTCGATGCCTTTGGCAGAATGTGCTATGGAGTCTGCTGCAGGTAGTCTTGCTGGTGGCCAAGGGGGGTTGCCTTCACTGGTGTTCAGCCCAAACTCGGTGAGTGACAAAGAAACTGCAACCGTTTCTACTACGTCTGTGGACACTAACTCAGAAGCTGACCAGACTACTACCACTCTTGCCAAACTGGATGAGAGAGATCCAGGCATTTCTGGCTTGGAACATAGTCCTCCTTCAGATGCTGCTTGGATGCCAGGGGCTAGAGTTACACAAACCCATTCGAGTGAATTAGAACCACTACAACAGAACGAACAGCTGAGTGACAGGAGGGAGACACATGCCATCCCATTACCCAAGAGTGAAGAAGGGGGAAATAAAATGATTGCTCAGGAGACCAGCCACAAGGCAGGATTTTTGGAAGTGGGTCATGAGGAGCTAGCTGTAACAAAGCTAGGTGGGCAGAGCACAGATGGTGCAGACAGCCTGGTAATGGAAAAGGAAACCTTAATCCCAAATTATCCCACAACAGGAGGTTCAGACATTGAAAAATATGGAGCAGTTGCAGATGGACTGAGTTTTGTTGCATTCACTGCTGCTGTCGATGAATGCAGTAAAGATGCAGCAACGAGCCAAGTAGGTGAGCCCTGCCAAATGTTCCCTGAGAAGAGTTTTGTTGCATTCACTGCACCTAGTGAGGCATGTAATAAAGATGCAACAACACACGAAGTGGATGAGCCCTGCCAAGTTGTCCCTAGGAAGAACAAGGAGCAGTCTGCATCCTGCCCTGTTGTACCCAATTTGTCTGTTAACACTCCAGATGCATCTCTGATACCTACAGCAAAAGAAGATACTAGGGATTTTCAGCCTGAAAACGAATGCCCAGATAAAGCCAGTAATAAAGAACTAACAATTCTATCTGTTACCGGAAAAGAAAATCAAGATGTGGGTTTTCTAGTGACCGCAGAGCCTTCTGGGGTGTTTTTTTTGCCTGAGGAATATGATGAAGAAAAAGCATCTCAGTACAGAGCAGAACATGCTGGCAGCAATACAACAATGAAAGCTGGATGTGAGAGTGGAGAGAATCTTACTGTGTTTGACCCAGAAACTCTTGCAAACATTATCAAGGAAGATTCTGAAACAGATCAAAGATTTTCCCTAGAGGGAAGAACAACAAACTTTACCACTGAGAGCAAGCTTCCTGAGCTCATTAAAAAAGAAAATATCGTACCTGAAGAAAACAAAGACATTTCCTTGGGAGGGATTAGAAGTCATGAAAGTCTGGCTTTAACTAGTTCTGTTATACCTGAAGAGGGGAACAGTTTCCAGGAGACAGTGCTAGCTGCTGATATTAACAAAAGGCTGGGCAATGTTGGTGTTAACAGGGACGATCCCTTGAATTCTCTGTTAAACGTTTTAAAAAGCGATGCCAGTGACAAAGCATTGGAAGAAACTTTCAGTTCCGAATATAGTCTGAATGCACCTGAAGTTCATTCACCTGAATTAAGTCAGGGATCAAAGACAGAGAAAACAGCCACATATGACAGGCAGGGTAACAGTAGCTTTCTGCCTGTTGAAGCACTACATTTACAAGGGGTGAAACACTCACAAAGTTATGATTTTTTAAACCTCAGTCCAGAAAACAGCTCACCAGCTTGTAAAATGGCCGAGAAGGTTTGTTTAGCAGATGTGCATGGTTCACTTCTGGTGCAGTCTGAGAACAATACGGTTAAGCAGAATAAGCAAGACGGCTCCTGGGAGCACCCAACATTTAAAAACAGTGTATGGGAGACTGAAGACAAAGCTATGCATGAACTAACTTCTGGAGCCAGTCTGGCATTCAAAGGAAAATTATCCAGTCTTGAGCATAAGGGCTTAAATGAATGGGCAGGGATTGCTGAATGTGTCACATCAGAAGAAACAAAGATCCAGAAAGATGCGTCCCTTTTGGAAAGGGAAAAACAGATAACCAATGATGATGCTGGCAATGCACCTCTGCCTGTTGCTGAACTAAGCACTGCTGTGGATATAAAAGAAAGTCATGAAATGGGACAGGAGGAATACAGGACAGAAAGGAAAGGCCAGGCAAATGACACTGCTTAACAAGTGACAGAAGAAAATAACCAAAGTACGGAAGAGGGTTGTACTGGAAGCCCAGTTCCTTCAGCAAGCATTATGGAGACTGGGACCCAGGAACCAAAGTTGATTTCTGAAGACTTGCATGGTAGAAGCATTAAGAAGCATGATTGTCCTCCAAAGAGTTATGACAGTGAAACATCCTTAGAAACTCTTCAGAGCAAAGATGTCCAACTCACCAGAGTGGTTTTGATACCATCTCGAATAGCAGAACAAGGAGAAAGCCCAGAATCCCTTGCATCAGTCTGCTGTAACCAATGGCACATTCCAAGCTCAAAAGTCCAAAATGACAACAGTAACACAGTTACAAGTCTTGATGAACAAGAGCTGGATGAGGTATATCCCAAAAGGGAACACTCACTTGTATTAAATGAATGCAGCGACCATCAAGAGCAATGTGAAAGTGAAATTAAAGTAGTTGTAGATATTCCTGCCCAATCCCAAACTGTACTTTGTGAGCTGGAGATGCAAGCAAAAGCATCTTTACCAAGTATTTCTAAAACTTTGGGAGACTCTGTGCAAGACAGCAACCTGCAAACTCTTACAAACCTAAAGGAGGGAGAAAGTTGTCTCAGTAAAGAAACCTTAAGCAAGATCAAGCAGGATGATTCTAATACATTGACTTCAGACTCTCTTCATGAAGAAGCAAGTGTGGATGATGCATGTGCTAAAGAATCTGTCATAAATGAGCAGTTGGGCGGTTTATGCAGAATGGCAGGCGACAGTGATAAAAGCAACATTGGTATTACGGAACGCATTCCAGCGGCACAGAATACAGACACTGCTAATGCCGTGCCGCAGACTCTGCCAATAGATTTCAAAATAACTCATGCTGATGCTGATTCTGAAAGAAACAGAACTGATCATAACCTACTTAGTAATCAGACAGAATTGGCAGAAGAACGTTCAGATTCTGAAATCAAAGAGAATCTTAGTTTGGTTGATGCAATAATAATGAACGATGAACATGAAAAAATAAATTTTGAAAAGGACCTTACATTCTTGGCTGATGAAATTGCAGAAGAACAGGAGTATCATCCTCTAGTATTACCTGAACCCACAGAAACGCCTTCCAGCAATACGTTGAATAAAATGGACAGTATTCAGAAGACTGAGTTTCTACCTGGTGGCTCTGAAGGAGAACTGACAGTTCTTTCTACGTCACCATTTCCATGTGAACAGCACATGTTGATCCAACAACCAGCAGGCAGCTTGAATGATGGCATTGTTGGTGAAGTACAAAAACAGGAGCTGGAAGTTGCAGCTTGCCAAAACGTCTTAGGTGCTGGTTCTGATTTGCATATTGCCGCCGCTGCTGCTGGAGTCATTTGGGAAGATGATAATTCTGCAGAGAAAAACTCAATAGATCCAAGGAATTCTAGAGTAGTGAATTTAGACAACATTCCTTCCGAGACAGTCCCAGGGAAACAGTCTGTGATTCCTGAACAAGTTTTCCAGTCAGAAGAGAGTGCCATGACCTTACAAAGCTCTGCTGAGGCAGGGCAGTTCGAAGGAAGTTTGTCGCCATTTAATTTCAAGAAGCTGCAGACGGAGATCTCTGCAATTAGAACAAAAGGAACGAAAAGCGATGTCAGCTTCAAAGCCCAGCAATGTGACAGCTCAGTGGAATCTCTCTTCAGTTTTTCAAGCTTAGAAGAGAAGCTTCTGAGCCTTTCATCTCTTGGTAAGCAAGCAGGCAGTAATGAGGGCATTGTAGCAAATATCACCTGTGCAGATGACAAGCAGAGGAAGGGGGTAGAAAATACACAGAATGCAGAAAAAGGCAAATGTGCTTCAACAGAGAATTTCACCACCCCTAAGGCAGAAACTGTTATTCCCACACAGTCTTCAGAACCTGATGCTCAGACGTCCAGGGCCTTTGGCACCGGCTTTTCTGATTTCAGGGAGCACATTAGCAAAATATTTGAGAAAACAGTTCAAAGTGCTCTGAGGGCAGAATTATCACACCTTTCGGATGAAAACATTGCCAGTGACAATGACAGCTCTGAAGTTAAAGAAAGGCCAGAATTTAAGCAAGTCTTGGAAGCCAGAGATGGAAACAGAGAACCTGAATGTCACCAGAAAATGGAAGGAGGCATGTTGATTTCAAAAGCTGAAACTTCCAGTGGAGCTACTCAAGAGAAGATAGCTCAAGAAGAAAACCAACTCTTGACAAACAGTCAGGACTCTAGGGAGGAAAAGATCCTTGTCAAGGAATATTGCTTAAGTGATATATCGTCTTTAGCATCTTTGCCAAACTTAGACCATGAGTTGGATGGCTCAAAAATGAGCAATAATAAGATGAAGATTGATGAAAGTGAACATGTTAGTCCAGTGAGCAGCGATAATGGTGGCAATCTAGTAAGCTTGGAAACAGGAATACTACAACTTGCCAGTGATTGCGGCCCAGGGACAGTGAATCTGCTATCTTCTCCTGACAGTAACCTCCCTATCATGACTGCTGACTCCACAGGAGTAATTCCAAAGAGTGCAGAGGCAGGTGATTTAATTAGTGTGTGTAATGCAGAACCAGGTTTGTATGAGGAAGAGCCAATTATGGAACATTATGGAAACCTATGCCACCACCTGATGCCAAGTAAAGGTGATGAAAATGAAGAGAGTATTTTAAATTCAGGCGACGTGTCACCATTGCCGTTTCTTCTAGATGTTCTTTGTGAACACGAAGAACAAACAGAACAGTCCAGAATGTTGCCAGGTGAAAATGAGAAGAAATCTACTGGCTGTAATCTTCTGGATGAAAATTTGCACCAGGATGAAGGATATACTATGCTGGATGGGTTGGGAGATACAAAACACCCACAACTGTCTCAAGAGCAAGGACAGGAGACAGAAACACATGGGCTCATAGATTACTTAAAAAATGAAGTACACCCTGATGATTGTTCCCCAGGTAACTGTAAACCGGAACCCGGCAATGTAGAAGAAGCAAATGACACCGTGTTGAGCACAGCAGAAACTGAAGAACATATTTCTGTTGACACTCCTAAAAAAAGTATTACAGGGATATTATTCACTGAGGATAGTGACTCAGCTTTGCAACCCAGCATTTGTGATCAAGGGTCTGATGCAGAAAAGCATTCAGAAAGTATTCACAGGTTGGAACAAAATGTGTGTTTTAAGACTACAGATGCTGTTGTTACTTCTGCAAATCAGAATGGAGAAAAGAATTGGACACAAGAGAGTTTTCTTCAAAATACCCAGGGCAAGAAATCAGCTGCTTCACTCACTGAACAGAAGCAGAACCTTCCCAGTGAACACCCAAGTATGGCTACTGAAGGATTACCTGCTGAAAGGTACTTATTTAAAATTAATTGTAAAAAAATTGTGCCAGTATATTGAAGTTTGATATTGTGTAATAGGGGGTGGGGTGGACAGTCTTAATTAAAGTTGCAGGTTGATCCTGTTTTGTAGCCTACCTGAATCTAAATTGCAATTCTTTTCAGTGGAGTATATTAGTTCAGGAAAATGTCTATGGGTTGCTAGAGGAAGTATGTATACATTATGAAACCTGTAAACAGCTGGCCTCAGCACTCTTTTCTCCTTATTTCTTGGCCAAGACACTTGTATATAATATATGACCACACAACTGTCAGTCATAAATCAGACAGTTACATCAGTACTTCTGCAAGCTCTGTGAAGCTGCAGACAGAGGTGCCTGTTCTTTTATATTTTAAAAACGTTGGACCAGCAGTCTTTTATTCTGCTATGCACATAGTACACCTGTCAAACTGGATTACTCCAACTTGTCTTCTAAGGTTTGCTGTTCTTCTGAAATGCCCCCCATTGTCCAATAACAAAGAAGCAGCAGTTTCTGTTACAGTTAGCTAAATGCAAATAGTTGCATTCAGACAGGTGTTTGGTAGTGAGGGTTTTTAAATTTGGGATTTGCATGATCAGGATTTTTAGGTTGCCTGGTTCTCCACAGAAGGAGGACCCAGGATGTTCATAGTGTAGTCATAACCAAAGTTACATTTTTCTTCAGTAACCGTAGCTGTTAAAAAAGAGTCCAATCTCATTCCCTTTCTAATAGTTATTTTCTGTAGGTTTATTTTATCATTGGCTTGTGCATCAGCTAAAATTGTACAAGAATAAATTTGAGTTCTGTGAAATGAGGCCTCTTCTCCAGGAACTAATTGTGTCCCTGTTTCTCCATAATCTCAGCACTATTCCTGAGCTCTGTCACTCTCTCCTTGCTGCACCTGAGAAGGACGCTATAATAGTAGCTGCCAAAGACACCTCAGATGAGGCAAGAGATGCCAACAAAGTAGAAAGGTACAGTGAAAAGCATTAACTTTTTTCAGAGGGTGGTACTGCCCCACTTAATAATAATTCTTTCCAGGTGCATGACAGTGAATTAGACACTAAAACTGAAAAATGTGTTTGTGCAGAGTTATTTTCCTCTCCCCCCTACATCTAGAATAAGGGTGGAGCATGTTACTTGCAAGTGGGTTACCAACTTTTTTTCTGGTAAAGTTCATTTTGAAAGGCTCTTAACTGCCTGACTCACCAAAGTTTAATATGTTAAGTTTTTTTTCAGGCTTAGAGGTGAAGTGATGGGAATCATCTCACTAGCTAAATGCCTGCATGTCTACAGGACAGTTTTTTTAAAAAAATTATCGAGTTTATTACATCATATATACAAAACAAGATCAGTATCATACAACCTTGTGATAAGTAAAGACACAAGAGTCTTGCCAGACAGAAGTACCATAAACTAAATCACATTAGTGGAAGGCAGACTGCAAAAACAGGAATTTTAACAGTTCCCACATTTGATAATCACATCACATTTGGGGGGCTGTTTACTGACACAGGGCACTATACTGCTGATTAGAAAACAAAGGCTTTATGTCTCCTATTGATACGTGTGGAGGAGAAGCTGTGAAATTCTCAAGAGCAAAGTTATTAATTTGGACTACTTTCAGCTGATTTGTGAGGAATTGTACATTTGATGTTTTGAAAAGAGGCATCAACGACTTCATGCATTCTCCATTCCATACTTGCTTTTCTTTACCGTGGTAGCAGTAAGGAGGTGGGCATTTTGTTTCTTAACAACTCTGTCAGTTGTGTACCTGCTCAGAGGTTCCAGAGATTTATAGTGCAATTCTAAGTAGAGTTGCACTCTTATAAGCCCATTCACTTGAATCATCTTAGGAAGCTGCAGCTCTGCTTATGCCAGCACTGTAAAAGACAGAAAGTCCCTATGTTTTAAAATAATGATGGGTGACGCATTTTGCTTCCTATTGCAAACAGGGTGGTGTCTTTGAGTAGCTGCTGCCAATTCATAACTATGTTTCTTCATACTTGCATATGCTTGCAGAATTTACCATCACCTGTTTTTTCTGTCTCGGCATTCATCCCAAGCAACAGCAGCTGCTGCTTTCTGCAGAACAACAGTAACTTTTTTTAGCTCCATGCCTGTGGATATGTCCATTTTGTGTACTGTACACATGGAGAAGATAGAGTCATATAGTCAAGAACTTTGCTTTCCCAAGGCAATTAACATGGAACACGGCCCTTGTTCAAACTTGCTTAGTATAAGAATGTACAAATGTAGGAAGAAATGAACAGGTATATGTTGCCAGCCTGCCTGTCTGTTTTTTTGTAGTGTTCCAGATCGCTCTAATTTGGGGATACTAAAATGGAAGCATTGTAGATAATGTAGTGTTGCAAAGCTGGTCACACACGTTTCCCAGTATTTTCTCCCCCACCTGCATATTTATTGCTATTATGTTTCTTTCCTACTATGCGTCCTGTACAGTTTATATCCTTTAGGGTTGCCCGCCTTCAAGTCCTCCACTTCTTGGGGGCTCCAATCCACCACTGGCCAGTTGGCTGGTGGGGGAAGCTCTGCCCCCAACCTGCAGCTACGCACGGCCACCCCTCACCCTCCTCTCCTGCAAGATTTAAAAAGCCATTCAGCTTATCAGCAGGGAGCACATGGCCTATTAGTCAGCTGGAGGGCCCTTTCAATCTTTCTGATAGTTTCTGTAGTTTCTGATAAGAGCTGTTCTTGTAAAAGAGCAGTTTGTGTCAGAGTTCTCTCAGCCCCACCCACCTCACAGGGTGTCTGTTGTGGGGAGGGAAAGGGAAAGGAGTTTGTAAGCCGCTCTGAGACACCTTTGGGTAGTTACGGGCGGGGTATAAATCCAATCTCTTGTTCTTCTTCATCATCATCATCAGGGAGGGAGAGGGCTGTCGCTGGCTGCAGCTCCACTAGCAAAAAGACCCTTTAAAAGACCCTTTTTGCAAGTGGGATAGGGGCCATGGTGTTTGAGGCTGGTTCCCCAGCGACGATTTGCAGAGCAGGCCAGAATCCCAAGCAGCGAATCACCACTGGGATATCAGCCCTGTGTGCTACAGCCCCACCCCACTAGCAAAAACCCGACACCTTTAAAGGGTCTTTTTGTGAGTGTAGCTCTCTGGGGGCTACACAACAAGAGGCGGTCCTGTAGGTATGTTGGTCCCTGACCATTTAGGGCCTTAAAGGCCAGAACCAGAACCTTGAACCTGATCTGGTACTCACCCTGGAACCAGTGCAGCTGGCGTAGCACAGGTTGTATGTGTGCAATTTATCGGTGTCCCTGTGAGGACCCGAGCTGCTGCATTCTGGACAAGTTGTAACTTCCTGATCAGTGTCTTCTAATTTGTAGTGATATTCCTATACGGAATGTATTTATTTATATATTTAATACAGTATTTATGGCAGTTAACATCATTTCATGAATAAATGCAACAAAATCACCTAAAACTACATTACCATAATTTTTTTCTTAGTAACGTGAGTAAAAGGCTGTCATTTTAGGTGCAGGAAATGTTTGGTATGTTAAGACTCCAGAGTAGCTTAAATGTAGAAATGCCACTGACAGTTCACTGCCGCAAATAGTCTAAACCTCCTTGGTTTGGGGGATCAAGAGAGTTATTGGTTTTGGTTTATTTTTTAATGTTGGATTTATATCCCAGGAGTCCATTCCCACCCTGTATTCAAATGAAGTTCTGGATTTTCCTTAAGTTTTTAACCCAAAGTACTCTGGGTAAGCTACAAATCTGAGGCATGTTTTAGATATAAAGACAAGACAGTGTTTGTTGTAGAAATTAACCCGACTGATTTGGGCTCACACACTCCCTATCCCCTTCCCCTTGTATGAGGCTTGATAATTAAAGACTTCTGACTTTATTTCTGCCTTCACAGGACACTGTCGTGTCTTGTTATATCAAAGCTATTGTTTATTCTTAGGTGTTTCAGATGTAGCAATTATATACAACTCCATGAGGGAACACTTAGGTAGTATGCCACTATATTTGCCCATATTCTCCACCATTAAAGAGGAAGTTTAGGGGACCAAGAGAGTTATTGGTATTTTTTAAATGTTGGACTTATATCCCAGGAGTCCATTCTGACCCAGTATTCAAACCAAAGTTCTGGATTTCCCTGAAGTTCCTTTGTGTCCTGCTGGGTTGATTATGGTGTTCCCCATGTTTTGTACAAGTCAAGGTGTACTTCCTGCCACTGTATTTCTTGCTAGGTATTTCCTTATCTTGTCTTTGTGCTCTTCCCTTCTCTCCCATAAATATCTTAGTGACACCACTGCCTGCTAAAGTATTCAGTATGAGGCTGTGTGAGCTTGTTCTGAAACTTTTCCTGATGTTTGTCTGCTGTGCACTTCTGCATTTGCTGATTTCTTTGGCCTTGTCTCTAATAACAAAATGATTCCATACTGGTTCAGGTGGTGCTTCTGACCTCTCAACAATTTGGTGAGAAAGTAGAAGTCTTTATGCAAGAACTGGATGTATTTTTGGCCACTGTGTGACACAGAGTGTTGGACTGGATGGGCCATAGGCCTGATCCAACATTGGCTTCTCTTATGTTCTTATGTAGGGAACCCAAGGATCTGGTTTTTGTAAAAAGTAACAAAAATGTAGAAGAGGTTTAGAATGATAAAATTTTGTTTGACATATACCCAGACCATAACTATGAACCAAACCAGAATAGCTGCTCATCATATCTCCCACCATCTTGTGTTTCTACCATTGTGAATTTTGGAATTGGAATTTTAAATATGACATTTTTATGGAGCAACAGGAAGCAAAGGAACCCCGCACAATCCTATTCTTGCATCACAAAGTAATAGCTAAAGATGCTTTTAGTTTCCCCATAATGTATTTGAAATGCAAGATCACGATATCCTATGAAACGTCACAAGTTATGGCATTGTGATTGACAGCTTGTTTGAAAAGGCTATTAAATGTAGATTCTACTGACTTCAGTTCTACATTTCCTAGATATTGGAATTTTTTAGTTCTGTCCTCTTGCTGCTGTTGTCTAACAAGGTGCTGTGAATCCGAGCAGAAATATGATAAAAGATGATGACAAGTAGAGAAAAAAAACAGGAATGCTACCTACAGTTCACAGTCTTTATTGAAACTGCCTGGCCCATTCTTCTAGTACACTCTAGTCATCATATTATTTATTTATTTTCTTTTATTTAGATCCCATCTTTCTCACAAATGGGGACCCAAAGCAGCTTAAATCATTCTCCTCTCCTCCGTTTTATCCTCACAACAACCCTGTTAGGTAGGTTAGACTGAGAGTGTGTGACTGGCCCAAGGTCAGCCAGCAGGCTTCCATAGCAGAGTGGGGATTCGAACCCAGATTTCCCAGATCCTAGTTCGACACTTTAACCACTACACCACGCTGGCTCTCAGTAGTCATCACTGGTAACATGGTTTGCTTCTTGAAAGGAGATATGCTGTGGTCCGTGAAAATGTGTACTAGAGATGGACAGCTCTTGTCCAGTCACACAACTACTAACTTGCTTCTTGCATACTGCATACCTGGCATACTGCATACCTGGCTTAGAACCAGCTGCATATATTGCTCATTTAGAATGAAATCTTAAGCAGAACTGCCTTAGTATCTTACTCTTCCAAGTTTATGAACATCAATGGGCTTAAAAGGGTGTAACACTGTTTAGGATGGAACTGTTAGTCAAGGAGTTTCCTTCTCTGCACATGTGAGAGTGAAACCTTACCATATATTTAAAATATAATGTGAAAAACTGTTCTTAATACCTCTGATTACCAGGGAGCTCTGTTAAGATGCAGCTGTGTCCCCAGGAAGTTCTGCTGTATTAGCAGCTATACTGTAATTCCTACCAGAAATGATTGAGAACTGGTCTGCTTCAAGCTATGTCACTTAGAAGTCTAAACAATTGAGCTGAATGGAAAATAAATCACAGCAGTTAGCTGCGAAATGCTGGCAGTTAAAACAT